TTATTTACAGAGAGTTCTAAAAGCCAGGTTTAAGTTATAGCACACTAGTTAAGTTAGGATTTACCTTATCCAACCATCCATGCTAGACAGAGTAAGCTGGGCACAGTTAGGCCAAGCAGTTTACATACATTATTTACTTACTGTTTCACAAGTTGAATTGTTAAATTTATTTGTGTTAACCAAGTGATTTTAATTTGTATACTGCATTTTTATTGTGTGATTTTCATTGTCTTTGATTCATTTTAATGGGGGGATTTGTGAATTGTACCTTAGACTAGGTTTATCCTGTAATTATTTGCTTACATTGTACAGGAAATTGCTAGTTTAAGTTTTCACATCGATACACATTTCGATTGGGATTTGAGAGCTAACAGTGTACATTTTTTATTCAGAGTAGAGTCAATATTATAAAGGGAGTTGTCAAGCTTGTTGAGAAGCCTTGAGACTCATTCATTCTTGCCTAATACCGTTTGTGGGTGTGGGTGGGCTAATTGAAGTACAAATTAGTACCGTGATCTTAACTAAACCGCAACTATGGTAGGTGAAGATGCAGTACCAGCTGTCCCAGCTCTAAGTCAGTTAAAGCAGTCTATGGAAGCCTATAAGGGGCGCCTGAGCAAAACATGTGAGGAGTGTCGTATGGTCAGGCAAGATCAGGACGTAGACTGGGAGGAACTAGAGAGTTGCCTTTAAAAACCCTTTGGAGCAAAGATGGAGGCCTTTGAGAGATCATTTATTCTTTATGAGACAGAGGCCCTTACTAAAAGTGAGTCTGAATACACAGTCGAAGTAGCACGGACGGACTATGACGAATGAAGGGCAGAGTGTAAAGCAGAGTTGAGACTCTGCAGGCAGTTAATAAAGACTTTGAAGGTCGGTACAGCAGGGGCAGCAAATGTTTCAAGGAACATGAACAACAGTACGCCTGTTAATGTGTTGCCCAGATTGCCCCAGTTGAATTTACCAACGTTCGACGGAACCTTAACAGAGTACATTGCTTTCTGGGATCAGTTTAAAGCCGAGATAGATGACAGAGACGATTTGTTAGATGCCGTCAAATTACAACATTTATGTTCACAGCTCCAGGGTAAAGCCTTGGACTTCGTCCGGCATTACCAAACCACCGACACCAATTACCAACATGCCAAAGATCAATTAAAGGACATGTTTGGCAACACTGAGGAGATAAAGGTAGCTATACTTTATCGGTTGTTGGATCTAGAGGCTTGTCACCATGACCATCAGAGCCTAGAGAAGTTCCAAATCGAAGTTTTGAGTTTGACGAATAGTCTTAAAGATTTACATGATTGGAGTAAGTTGGAATGGTTCATCAGTCAGGTGATTCAGAGGAAACTGGCTGGAACTACAGTGCATGAGTTACACTTAAAATATCAGATGAATAGGTTCACGATACAACAGATCGTTGAGGGGTTGGGAGATCTCGTTTCTCATTTGAGTATAGGTGTGAGAGAAGAGTCACCACCATCGCCACATAAAAACCCAGACAGTCACTCAAAGATCTCAAGAGATCAGTCTAAAGCTCGTACGACTAACGTTGGAGTGTACTATGGTGAAGAGGTGTCTAAGGTAAGAACCTCTAAGCAGAACCTCAGAGGCACTCATGCCAGAATATGTGTTCTGCGAAGGCGAACATGCTAGCACGAGTTGCTTGGAGTATATAACACTGAGCAGTAGGCAACAGAGACTAAGGGAGTTGAGACTCTGCTTCAAGTGTTGTGGGGAACACTTTGCGAGAGACTGTGGCACCCAGCTCAGTGAGTGTCGAGTCTGTTGCAAAGGTAAGCACCATACTACGCTATGTCCCAATAATTTAATGGAACCCCAGGCTAGTAGGGATATCTCTCCGGTAGAGATAGAAAGTGAGTCCGAGCCTGAAATGGTAGCCAGCATGATTAGTGGGAGTAAAGTCTCTAATCTGAGTGAGAATCACGGAGGTGCTGCCCTACCTACAGTCATGGCAAAGGGTGAGTGGGCACAGGTCCGATACAACCCGATTATTATTTGACCCAAGAGCACAAGTATCCTTGATAACAAAGAAGTTGGTGGCTAAATTAAAGTTGAATGCCACAAAGAAAGTTAGTATGATGTTTGGAGGGGCTATAAGTCAGGTCCCACCCAAATCTTATGATGTGGTGGATGTCACAGTCAAATTAGGTGGATATCGCAGAGACATTACAGCCTTGGTGGTAGAGACATTACCCACGGCAATTACAGCGATAGGTCTTGCTGCAGCAGCTAAGCGATTGAAAGACCTTGACGTGAAGCTGGCAGACCAGAGAATTACCACTGACACAGTCAGAAATGTAGGTATCCTGGTGGGAGCCAATCATATAGATGACTTCCTGTCTACACGACGGACGTTTAAGGAAGGAATTGGGTTATACAGATCCCCAGTAGGATACATCATAGGCGGCAGGATTCCACCTGAATTCCCTGCCACGCCAGATAGAGGAGAAGCTGTTCCCATGATAGCTGGGGGAGTAGTGATAATGAATACCAGTATACACTATGAACCGCCAGGGAAGCTGAACCAGGTAGGTAGTGATGAACACTCGGCCACCTTGGGAAAGCACTTTTACAGGGTACATAAAGAGGGAGATAGATTGCCTTTAAATCCAGGGAACCTCGTAAGAGTGGGAGGAAAGGCTACCAGGGCATGTGGGCCACTGGGTGGGAAAGTAAGGAGCCACTCAGTCAAGGCTAGACATACGAAAGATGCTAAAGTTAAAGGAAAGGGTGCTAAGACCACCAGAACCAACAAGTTTACACCCCCAGAGGTCCACACAGGGGAAACTGGACGGTTGAAGTAAGACCGGAGTCTGCTCGACGAGAGAGCCAGACGGCACTCATGTCCAGGGTCCGCTGTGGGGGCTCGTGGAAGGTGAACTTGATTTAGACTTACCGTCTACTTTCGCCGGCTGGAGGATGTGGAAATTTATTTGGTCCCTAAAGTTCCACAGGACAGATCCAGCATGGCCGTATGGGACGGCTGAGCTGGATGGCCCTTATACCCCACCCAAACATGAAAGCATTCTCTCCTGTTGACGATGGATTGTTGGTAGGCATGTATTTAATTTATAGATTTACTCTTCAGGGAAGGAGTAGGTAGTTTTTCTGTTAGTATATTAATATTAGGGTTACTAAGGCAACTGTAGATAATAATAATGTAGACCTAAAACGTTAACATAGGTAGTAATAGGCCGATAATGTAGGCAAACACTTGGATAAGTTAGCTAGGGAGATCTGGCAGCCCTAGTTTGAACGAAGAGACGAGGGTCTGGAAGAGGGACCAGCTCGTTCTTCTTAAGACAGACACCAACTGGACAAGACGTGCCGTGATCAGCAGACGGCACCCCCCACGTGTCTACACATTTGAGACCTGGGGAAATCTGGTAGAGGTACCTCGATGTACCGTAGATGACCTCCGTCAGGCCTATACAGTAAGACAAGACCAGTGTCTGGGGAGATTGTGAGTGAGTTGACCTGTGGGCCCAGTGTGCAACAGGCAGAGCATGCCCAGTAAGTACCAGTGTCTCAAAGCAGTCTGGAAGCTAGTGTTCGTGTCTGCATAGTTATACTAGGGGATACATACCCTCTTGGATATAGGAATTTCTGAGGTGCAGGCAGGACACTAATAACGATTGAATATTGCAGGAATTAAGGCTCCCGGTTGCACGTGGTTTCTGAGGGAAAGTCCAGAGGGGCTAAGGCTAAGCTTAGGGAAGTTGAAGATCAGGATATATGCTGCAACACCAAGTAAGTTAGTCCTTTATACGTGCATGCAGGCGAGTTTCTTGCAACATCAATCATTTGTGAAAATCTGTCCTATAAGCTACTTGTGAGGCTGAGGTACCCACCTCAGAGTTCGGTGTCAACAGAGTTTGCCAGTGTAGGTGACTCACTTGGAGGCAGTCCATACAAATTTTCACAATAATAATGATAATAATAATAATAATAATAATAATAATAATAATAATAATAGACAGCTTCAAAAGGTCACCACTAGATGGCAGTGTTTACCACAACAAAGAGGGAGGGGTTGTGGCCGCCTCCACCTGTTACATAATTACATATTTTATTCGTTCTAGAGTATATATCATGTTTCTATGTTATTTATGTTGTTTGTTATGTCATATTAGGTGAAATATGATAGATAAATAAGCCGTAGAGTTGATGATAGCAAAATATTCAAGGAGAATTTTGTCCGGTCTCCAGACAAACTCTCGTCAGCCGCCGCCACCGCATATATAATGACATATTTTATTCATTCGAGAGTATATATTAGGTTTCTATGTTATTTATATTGTTTGTTATGTCATATTAGATGAACTGTGATAGGTAAATATGCCATTTAGATCATATTATCAAAATTATTCAAGAAGTATTTTGTTCGGTATCCAGAGAAACTCATCCACTGCCGACACCTCCCATACCACTACATGAATGACATATTTTATTAATTTTAGAGTATATATCCCCTCAAGGAAGGTTCCTTGATGTTGGTGAGGGGCTCTTGATTTAGGGAATTGGATCTGTGCTCCAGTTCCCCGAATTAAGCCTGAATGCCTTCCACATATCCCCCCCCCCCCAGGCGCTGTATAATCCTCCGGGTTTAGCGCTTCCCCCTTGATTATAATAATAATAATTAGAGTATATATCAGGTTTCTATGCAATTTATATTGTTTATTATGTCATATTAGATGAATTGTGATAGATAAATCAGCCATAGAGTTGATATTAGAGAAATTATTGAAGTACAAAATTCCACAGGGACAGATTAATTGCATTTCAATTAATTTAAATGAGGAAAATTGACTGTGCAAATGAGCAAATCCAGTTGTGAGCAAGGTCATGAAATGGATTAAACTGGCAAGTAGAGGTTCCATTGTATTTAATGTGTTGTTTTTACTTTACTAAAACACCATAATAAAAAGAAATTCAACAAATTAAGTATTTAGGATATGTGAAAACACAATAAATATTCATATTCTGTTTTAATAAAACTTGAAGAGAGAGAGAATATTTAGCATTTTTAGTATTAACAAAGTAATTATCACTCAGAATACATTTTTATGACAAACAGAAATTCTGCTAACACACACATTTCAACTTCCTCTAAATTCACTCTGTATCTAGACATACCTTGTCTCTAGCCAGTTGTGTACTCACATCTAGACATATCTGGTCTCTGGCCAGCTGTTTACTTGTATCTAGACATACCTGGTCTCTGGCAAGCTGTGTACTCATATCTAGACATACCTGGTCTCTGGCTAGCTGTGTACTCACATCTAGACATACCTGGTCTCTGGCCAGCTGTGTATTCACATCTAGACATACCTGGTCTCTGGCTAGCTGTGTAATTGTATCTAGGCATACCTGGTTTCTGGCTAGCTGTATAATCATATCTAGACATACCTGGTCTCTGGCAAGTTGTGTACTCAAATCTAGACAAAGCACACTTGACTTCTTTCTAGTTGTTGATTTAACAGAAGAATATAAACCACACCAGACACTTACCAGCTGTTGTGTTGACATGAAAACACCAGCCACTCATGACACCACCTAGTTCTATTGCTAACATAATATATGTTTGTGTAAATTTGTTAACTGGCATTTATATGCATTTATAAGTGGAAAAAATGGCATTCTGCTTTCTGGCAGTCGCCTGGAAGCTAACCTGCCATATAAGTGGGGCTCTACTGTATTGCTCCTTTATCAAAACTTTCTGTGCAGTCGCCTGGAACCTAACCTGCCGTATAAGTGGGGCTCTACTGTATTGTTCCTTTATCCAAACTTTTATCAAACTACAGAAACCAACCACCAGAAAGATAGTGAAATATATTATCTTTATCCTAGTATTACCTTTATCCCAGTATTATCTTTATCCCAGTATTACCTTTATCCCAGTTTTATCTTTATCCTAGTATTACCTTTATCCCAGTATTACCTTTACCCCAGTATTACCTTTATCCCAGTATTACCTTTATCCCAGTATTACCTTTATCCCAGTATTACCTTCATCCCAGTATTACCTTTATTGCAGTATTACCTTTAACCCAGTATTATCTTTATCTTAGTATAACCTTTATCCCAGTATTACCTTTATCCTGGTGTAACCTTTATCCCAGTATTATCTTTATCCCATTGTTTATCAAGCTAGAAAAGTTAAATTAATTTCTGATACACAAAATATAAATTTACATGTAGAAATATTCAAAAGTTAAGACTTCAAAATTAAAAGAATATTTTTCAACTATGTTCAACCATACATATTGTTGTTATTATTACCTTTTATTGTATTACCTTTAATAATATTGTTGTTATTATTACCTTTTATTGTATTACCTTTAACAATATTGTTGTTATTATTACCTTTTATTGTACTACCTTTAACAATATTGTTGTTATTATTACCTTTTATTGTATTACCTTTAATAATATTGTTGTTATTATTACCTTTTATTGTATTACCTTTAACAATATTGTTGTTATTATTACCTTTTATTGTATTACCTTTAATATATTGTTGTTATTATTACCTTTTATTGTATTACCTTTAACAATATTGTTGTTATTATTACCTTTTATTGTATTACCTTTAATAATATTGTTGTTATTATTACCTGTTGTTATTATATTACCTTTAACAATATTTTCTTAAATAATATTGTGTGTTGGTAAAATTGCTACCAGTGTATTGTATACAAACATCAAATTGTTACCATATATTGTTGCCAGTGTATCCTGTATGATCATCAGACAGTTATCATATATTGTTGCCTGTATATTCTGTATGATCATCAGATTTATCATATATATATATATATATATATATATATATATATATATATATATATATATATATATATATATATATATATATATAATATATATATATATTTATCAGTGTATCCTGTATGATCATCAGACAGTTATATATTGTTACCAGTATATTGTGAATGATCTTGAGACAGTTATCATATATTTCTATAGCAGTGTTGCCATTGTTATCAGTTTTAACTATATGGTCAATGCAGTGTTACCATATACAACTCTGTTCATTGGTGTCATTGTTTCTGTGTAACCATTAGATATTTACCACAAATAACATAGTGCCTTGGTGTAACTGTTACCAGTTTATTCTATATGATCATGAGACTGATTCGACATAAATCCTTGAACATTGTTGTCATTGTTATCAATTGATTGTATGTTATCATTACATTGTTACCACAGTCAATCATGAACATACATTGGTGTCAGTGGCACCAGTTTTTATTTTATAACAGCTACACTCTTCCCTAAACAAAGCAAAACAAAACAAAAAAACATTTAAAATCGAAAAAAGGGAAACCTATTTATAACTCGTTAATTTTTCCGAGCATTGTCAGACATGTAGAAGTGTTCTCCTGCAACACATGTCTTCCTCTGAGGGTTCTCAAACATGTAGAAGTGTTCTCCTGCAACACATGTCTTCCTCTGAGGGTTCTCAAACATGTAGAAGTGTTCTTCTGCAACAACTGTCTTCCTCTGAGGGTTGTCAATCATGTAGAAGTGTTCACTTGCAACAACTGTCTTCCTCTGAGGGTTGTCAATCATGTAGAAGTGTTCTCCTGCAACACCTGTCTTCCTCTGAGGGTTGTCAAACATGTAGAAGTGTTCACTTGCAACAACTGTCTTCTCTGAGGGTTGTCAATCATGTAGAAGTGTTCTCCTGCAACACCTGTCTTCCTCTGAGGGTTGTCAATCATGTAGAAGTGTTCACTTGCAACAACTGTCTTCCTCTGAGGGTTGTCAATCATGTAGAAGTGTTCTCCTGCAACACCTGTCTTCCTCTGAGGGTTGTCAAACATGTAGAAGTGTTCACTTGCAACAACTGTTTTCCTCTGAGGGTTGTCAATCATGTAGAAGTGTTCTCCTGCAACACCTGTCTTCCTCTGAGGGTTGTCAAACATGTAGAAGTGTTCCCTTGCAACAACTGTCTTCCTCCAAGTTTTATGTGGATACATTTGTGTTATTATGTCTCAACTAGTAACTGTCTTTCTCATTCTTCACTGTACATTACTTTTTCCTCAGTGTTATACTAAAGCTTCAGTTATATTGATATTACTTATAATTGCTTAACGTAGTTCTTTATTCATTACCGTCAGTGTGCTGCTATCTTCAACGTTCTGAATGTTTTCTTTTTCGTTCATCTGTCAAGTAGAAAGATAAAAGTTTTATATGCATAGTTAACAATAAAAATAATCAAACAAATAATAAACAGTGATCTGTCAAAAATATATATTCTCAAGAAATATAAACAAGTACAGTAGACCGTTATATTTCGTGGTTTCATTTGGCACATTTTGGTTATTTAGCTATTGAAAAATTGTGGCACAATTTTATACAACACTTCAAGAAAATCAAGATATTAAAGAAGCTTAAGAGTGGCTCATGTGTGGTGGATATAGTGAGGGTCTATGGCCTTAATGAAGTGTCAGTTCCTACAATTAAGAAGAATGAGGTGAATATGAGCTTATGTAATGAATAACCCAGGATGTCATCTCATGAAAAGAATGATATGTAGATCACAATAAGTAAATAAAACTGAAAACTTGTTGCTTGTGTGAATCGAACAAAAAACAAAGAAAGGTGCACCACTTAATTTCATCTCCTCAAGGGGGAAGGAGGATCCTTGTAGTGGTGAAGAGGATTCTGGTCTGAGGAATTGGACCTTTAAGTCTTCTTCCTCACACCAAATCTAATTATCCCCCAATCCTCCCTTGCCTATCCTATCCTCCCCATCCTCCACTATTTTCTTCCTTCCTCCTCCCCTTAACCCTCCCCTTTTCCCCATCCCATTTGTAGCCTCTGGGGGCTTCCCCTCTGGCTTTAAGGTTTCTAGGTAAGGGGAAGTGTGCCTGGCTCATCCTACTTCATGAGGTTCC